AGAGAGACTGACAGGGCCTGGCCCTTCACTTTTGAAACCTAAAAGCCCCTCCCCTGTCAGTGACACCTCCTCCAACAAGGCCACATCTCCTAATCCTTCTCAAATAGTACCACTCTCTGGTGACTAGGTATTCAAATCTATGAGCCTATGGGGGCAATTCTTATTTAAAACACCACTATGACAGAGTTGTCCATCTTCTCCTTGGACTATCTTTCTGAATAGTCACATTTTGCCAAAATACCTTGCCTCTTAATTTAATTGGCCTGTCTCTTGGGGTGGAGACAAAAAAAAAGAAAAAGAAAAGAAAAGAAAAAACATACCAGTTACTCAAGCTTCTCACAGCTAGCACACAATGGGAGTTCCTGAGAGTCCTTCCACCAGCCAACAATTTTGTTCCCATAAGGTTGTGGGGCTAGAAGGAATGGAAATTGCTAAAACTTGCTAAAACTTAAGCCACCCTAGTCACAGTATTTACCCACTGTTTAGGCATGTCTTGTGTGCCAGACTGTTTTGGGGGTCTGCTGAAAGGACAAGGGGAACTAGCTCTGTGCCTTGCCCAAGAGCAGACTTGGTAAAGGGCCATGGTTAAGGTTTCAGTTCCTAAGGAAATGACTTTCTCCCCCTGAAGAAGACAAGTCTCAAGGATGCTGAATGCTCAGTCAGTGATGCACCTGAGATATCCATGTCTCTTACACAACGTTGCTTGATTAGCTTCTGGCTGACTTCGCCCCATTGTATGATACCTTTCTCCTGACTCCCATTTCCGCCTGCAAATCATACATAAGATGATGTTCTTAATAAACTTGCTTGGCATAAAACATAACTTACACAACACCTCCAGACCTCAACTTTCCTATCTTCTTTATTTTTCATCACCTCATCCTCTCTCTTAGGAACTTGTCACTTAAGAAGTGACCTACTGGTCCAGGTCAAGTAGAATTTAAATATACAGACTTGTCAGGATTTATAGCAGTTCGTCTTTACTGGCACAGTGAACAGTAAATTTCAGTCACAATGTCTAGTCCAAGCTGGCCAACAACTCATTACATAGCAGAGTAACCTCATATTTGTGATCCATAGGCCTCAGTCTGAGAGCCCTGATATTACTGGCCTATGCCAACATGAGCAGTTTTTAAACACGAAAGGAAGGAAGGAAGGAAGGAAGGAAGGAAGGAAGGAAGGAGGGAAGGGTGTGTGTGTGTTGAGACAGGGTCTTACTACATAGCTCCGGATGGCCTAGAACTCACATTATAGACCAGGCTAGACTCAAACTTGGAGCTCTACATCACTCTGCCTCCCAGGTGTTGGGATTAGAGGCATGTACTATCATGCCTTGCTCAACTATTTTATAATAATAAGCCAACTATTAGCAGGATTTAAAAAAAAAAAACATAGAAACGCCACTATCTTGTGGTGGGTTGAAAAATATTAATGTTAGTATCTAAGGATTGTTGCAGTTTAAGAAAAGCAGCACGTGAGAGTGAGCCACCATTCGACAGATTTCAAGCAGAGGGATTTTTATAAAGGAAAAAAGGATTGTAAAAAGGGGAAATGGGAGGAGGGAGACCAGTCTCCATGCACAGGAGCAACGAGAAAAGGAAGGGGGGCAGCAGCAGACAGACAGAAAAAGGGAGAGAAAGAGAGAAGGATGGCAGGTAGGCAGGACCCTTTTCAAAAGGGAACAGTGACTATGCGCAGGTGATGCTATCAATGGCAGCAGCTGAGGGCGTACCCTGTCAGAGCTTCAAAGGCAGGCCAGGAAAATGCCTAAATACTAACAAGATATGCTGTCATTTCTAAATGAGTTGTGTTATTAATTTATCTGTGTATGAGCTTTTTACCTTCATGTAAGTGTGTGCATTGCCTAGATCATTAGATACCCTGTAACTGAAGTCACAGTCAGCTGTTAGCTACTGTCTGGGTGCTGGGAAACTAATAAAGGCCCTCTCCAACATAACAAGTACCATTAACTTCTGAGCCATTGCTCTGGCCCTGACTTGAATTATTTTTTAAAGGTCACAAATGGTTTTTGAGACCATGTGTCTCTGCTGTCTGCAGAAAGCACATCCATCCTGCTTTCAGAAAGCAAAGGCCTACTATGCAAAAGAAAGTTACCTATTTGAAAAATCAAAAGAAATCTGTTCTAAAAATTAAATTAAAAACTAAGTTTGAAGGCACATGTCTGTAATTCTACCACTTGGAAGATAGAGGCAAGGAGGATCAATCTGCACTATATAGTGAGTTTAAGGCCAGTCCAAGATACATGATACCTTGTTTCAAAAATAAATAACAAGTTTGACTAGGTCACAAATAAAAGATCAATCACAAGACCAGCCAAGTAGAATAGTGTATGCCTATATTCTTACCATTCTACTCTAAAGACAGAATCAAGAAGTTCATGAACTGAGGGAAGTCTGAGCTTATACAAGACATTGTGTCCAGAAAAGAAATGAAAGATAAAGAAAAAATGCATATCTATTAACTAATTAATCCAGAAACTAAAATAGGTTGTTCTATTTACAGTAACACTGAAGGCAATTTTGACAACTTTAAGGAACAAGGAATGGTGGCTCACACCTTTAATCCTATCACTCAGGAGGCAGGTAGTTCTTGGTGAGTTAGTGAACCACCTAGTTTACATTTTTGAGTTCAAGGATAGCCAGAGAATTCCATCTCAAAGAATCAAAACAGAGGGAGGGGAGAGGAAGGTAGGAAGGGAGGAAAGCACAACAAACAAATCTTGTAGAAGACCCAAATACCTAACAATCGTATCAGGCAGCTCATAATCACCTTTAACTCCATCTCCAGGGGAACTGACACCCTCTTCTGGACCCAAGGCACCTGCACTCAAGTGTACACACCCCCCTCCTAACACACTTTTAAAGCCTTACCTGGAATACTGAAAACTGAGACAACCAACCACCTGCATCAATTTAAATTCAGTTTAAATCACTAGCAAGACCAATCATAATTGCTCAAAACAAGTTATTTCACCTCTTCATTCCTCTTTAAAAAAAATAATAAATGGGGCTGGAGAAATGGTTCAGAGGTTAATTAAAAGAAGAGGCTATTCTTTGGAAGGTCCTGAGTTCAACTCCCACGCTGTGGCTGTGGCTGTGGCTGTGGCTGTGGCTCAAGAGCATCTGTAATGAGATCTGGTGCCCTCTTCTGGTCTGCAGGCATTCGTGCACTCAAAACACTGTATTCTTAATTAACAAATACATCTTTAAAAAAATAAACAAGTTCTTTCCTTTGAAGCAACATTTGATTTCTAATTGAACCTGTTTCCCTCAATTTATACATTTATACATATGAAAACAAAAACCTGAGTTTAGCCTCCTTTGTGATTTCTTGGTATAAGACCAGATAAGAACCCAAGGTAGAGAATAGCAGAGCTCAAAGATAATACTTACTTAGATATCTGTTTGATAGTTCTAATCTTACTTGAGATACTTATCTCACTAAGCCTGCTCGAACTACACCTTTCATTTACAACTTCATTTAGCATACAAGGAATTCTAAGCACTGCACAGGTGCCTCTAAAACAAAAAAAATCCGGAAGGTCTTAAGGTTTTTTAGTTTGCATTTAGTTTGCATTTCTATAGCCAGGGTTGGTACAAATTCTTGCTTTACCTCAAACTGCTTCCCAATGTCTTTACAGGAATTAGCTTCCAAAGAAATGGGAAGAGAAGCCTGCTAAAACAAAGATGCTTGAAGTTCACCATTACTAAACTTTAACAAGATAACAATTCCCTAAGCAGTTGATTTCCTAAAATCATGGCACTAATAATGTAAAGGAGAAGGAACTAACCAAATAGGTGAAAGAAAGAAAGAAAGAAAGAAAGAACTAGGGAAAGACTACTGTACTCCAGGAATTCACTGGGTAACTTTGACTTCAAACAAGCTGTAAGCAGGGAATGCAAATCTAATCCCAGCATTCAGGAAGACCAGAAGGATAAAGAGATGAAGGCAGGTCATCTCCTGCTTGACAGCAAGTTCAAGGCCAGCCTAAGCTACGAGATGGGTTTAATATGTATTTTAACTTTAAATTACCAAATTGAACTGCCTATCAAACAATTCCATAATGTAAGTACTACTGTGATCCCATTTTATAGATGAGGAAGCTGAAGCAGGGAAGTAAAATTCTTCTGAGATTTTACAGAGAGTGATGGAACCAAGTGGTAGTGCCAAACTAAGAAGCTTTATAGTCACGGGATAGAAACACCCTTCCCCACCCCCAACCCCTTCCAGATCACTGAGTATAGGGGTTGAAAGACATGACTCAACAGTTAAGAGTACTTGTGGCCCTATAAGAGGACCTGGGTTCATGTCCCAACACCAACATGGTAGATACACAATTGCCTGTAATGTCAGTTCTAGGGGACCCACGCCCTCGCCTCCACACACCAAGTACTCTTACAAATGGGCACAACTTATGCTCATAAAACAAATTTTCAAAAAAAAATAAAAATAAAAGAAAAAGTCACTGGTACTACATTCCAACCACAAATTAAGAGCTAGCCTCTGCCTAGGTAACATTAATTCACCAACTAATATAACCTCTCCCAGGGTAGCAATCAGGCCCAGAGTTCCAACACTGCCCCCACAATCATCTCTCCCCTATTTTACTAAGGCATGAATAAAAAAGTAAGTAGTAAGTGCTTTTAGGCACCATGCCAACGATATTATTTAAGCTTTGTCATCAAATCCACTGTGTAAGGGTTTCATTTGGGGGAAGTTTGTTTTTAGTTTTCTAGATTATTTTCCAGACAGGATTTCTCTATAGCTCTGGCTAGATCTGCAGGTGAAGCTGACCTCGATATCAAAGAGATCTGCATGCCTTGGCCTCCCAAATGCTGGAACTAAAGGCATACCAGGCCAAGTTCTGTAGGTTTAGCCAGTGTTGATTCAACATTTTATTCCAAAATAAATTACTCCATGGTAAAAAGTTAGTAGTTGTCCAGTAAAACCAGGACAGGCTTTTTAAGGTGCAGACTTACCTGTAAATACAATTTTATCTTTTAGTCTCTTCCACGAGGGGTACGGTACGTTCACACCTTTGATCCTAGGAAAAGCAAAAAAACGTTTTAAGATATAGGGCAAATCTACCTTAAAGTGGTACTGAGAGCATACTAAGTTTACTGAATTAGTAATAGTTATGCTAAAAACAAAACCACTAAACTAGGGTAGTCTCAAAATAATCCCTGCCACCAGAACTCAAGTGTGCTCCTCCAGGTCCACTATTGTCCTATAATTCCAAAGCAAAAATACTTCGTTAGCAATTTTCGTTATTGGGTTGGTAAAAGAGAAACCTACTGGGGCTTAGGAAAGAGGCTACTAAGACCTTAGATTGTCAACAAGAAACAAACTTAAGATTTCTCCTTAAAAGTAACACATTTAGCAATTTAAATGCCCACGCAAGTTCTACTGCTGGCCTATTGGAACGCACGCCAAGCTCACACACTTCACCTGCTTTTTCATTTTTCTAGGAAAACACTCAAAGTACCACAAATGCAAACTGCTTCCGA